CAAAACCCCAAAACCCCAAAACCCCAAAACCCCAAAACCCCAAAACCCCGAAAGTGAAAATTATCGAAATGTGTGAAATTGCAATAAATAAATAATTTATTTCATCGATTCATATAATGGGAGGAACTTGCTGTGCAGAGCACAGAGAGAAATCCGAGAAGATGTATGATACTCGAGAGATCTAGCACCTAAGTAAAATCAAGATTACATTTACGGTACCTCCAATGTCTCCTCCTAAGCAGAAGAAGAAAAAACCTGATCCAGAACCTGTAAAAGAGTAGCCACCACCTGAACCAATAAAGCAGCCCGACCCTGAACCAATTATTGAGGAGCAACCCATCATTGAAGAGCCCCCAATAATTGAAGAGCAACCGATACTTGATTCTCCAACTATAGAAGAAGTTGAACCACCTGTCGAAGAAGAAGAATAAGTTGTTGAGTAGATACCTATCATAGAAGTTTAGCAACTCATAGAGGAATAGCCAGTGATTGAAGAACCACCTATTGAAGAGCCTCCTGTTGAAGAGAAATCACCAGTGATTGAGTAGCAAGAAGAACCAATATTTTTAAAAATGCCTCAGCCAAAACAAATGAGCAGGAAATCTTAAGTTGTAAAGCTAGCGATAATGGAGGAAGAAGATGAAGATGCTGATACTTAACCCTCAACGATGTTTGAACAATCATAAACTGTCTAGCTGTCACCTTAAATGAAACCTAAATAGGTCTTCTAAAAGATCTACAAAGCAGTCAAAGGTGATGCTGTCGACGAAGTAGTTTAAAAGATAGTATTTGATCTTAAGTGCCAACTTCCAATTATTAGAGTAGCATCTGGTAAATATTTGATTGGAACTGATCTTAAAATGCTTATGATTAAAGGTACAATTTGTATGGTTAGAGTCGGTGGAGGCTGGGAGCGTTTAGAAGATTATATCAATAGAGTATAGGACTAGGAAATCGATAAAATAAAGAGACTCATGACTGAAGTTCAAAAGCCTTATCAACTCGTAATGGTTGATCTTCTCATTAACATTAATGCTGAACAGACAGTCATTTAAAACTATCAGAGATACAGCAAATACAACATCCCTGATAAATGTCTCCCTCAAGAATATAGAAGAAAGTCAGTGGCTTTTTGAATAAACAATAATACTTATAATTTCAAATAGTTTGACAAGGATGTCTCATAAATAATGGACTCTGATTAGAACTAAAAATTTATATAGAATAATTTTTTAATTAATAGTATTAACTGTAGATAGTTATCTATTTAATAATTTAAATTTAAATATTTCCATAAACTAACTATAATATATATATGAAATATCATGGGGTTTTGGGGTTTTGGGGAGATCG